AACTTAGCTAAGGTCTTGTTGAGAGCCATACTTAAGACAAAATCCCCACACTTTTTCTGAATACAGATCTAGACTGGCCTAGGCTGGTAAAAAATAGGTTTTTTTCCCCCGCAGTGAGTTGGGTCATACTGATGCAAGCCTTGTATTCATAATTAACTATTCTTTTACAACTTAACTAATCTACTTTGGCCAAAACACACTTGGTTGGCCAGAGACACGCAGGTGTCAAATTAGAATCCTAGAGCAGTCAAGTCACTGGCCTTTTCTGCCAAACTCCAGTGATTAAGCTATGAACTCTGCCTACCCACAGTTGATAACATTTTGAAGAAAATGGCTTTTTTATTTGTTTCTTTTCACTGCTCACAAGGCAATTTTGTAGTTCTTTTTAAGAATCATTCTATAAACCCATAATTATTTTTTCATGTGAATAGGAATCCTTTAATAATATACTCCTGTATCAAAGGGCCATCCTGCGTAGATATTTGTTATTACTGTTTTATCGACTAAAGGTGTTGTGGAATATTGTGGTAACTATTCTGTGAAACTCATGTTTCATTTCTACTCTAGGGCATTCATCACTGGTCAGAAGGCCATCCAGTTCCCTAAAGGAAAAGTTAATGGTTCGGATAGAATCACATAGAGACTCTATGGATATCCTTAAAAAAGTGCTCAGAATCGATAAAACCCAAGGCAAGACAGTTCGAGAGGTTATTGCCTTTGCTGAAGAAAGAGATGGAGAACTGTTTCTTGATACTTGGAGGTTTATCTTTGTACGTCTCTCATTGAGGAAAGATTTTGAGAAACTTGTTGATGCTGTTCACTGGCCACTGACAAATCCTATTAAAACATTAGAAGGTCCTCTTCAAGACCAGCATATAAGGAAGGCTTATGATAACACCCATGAGAGAAGTCTGCAGGAGAATTCACCATACAGGAACAAGCCTGAGGAGCCTCTTTTAAACAAATTGAAGGAGACAAGGCTTAATAATCTAAAAGGTAATTGATGTTTACGTTTAAATTTGGACTTAACACATTCTAGAATAAGCAAGTATTCTTAATAAGTTTTTCATAAAGGACATTTCTCCTATAAAGGTAATTAGGGTCTCTTAGGTGACTAGTGTGGTTTGAATAAAGTAAATGAAGATCTTATCACCTGGCTCATTGCATCTGAAAATTTCAAATCTGCTACAATTTTGCTTTCTCCATCGGGAGATAATTTTGTAATTTCTCTCAATAGTATCCATACATTATCTCTCAAACAGGTGATGAGAATATATACTCAAAATTTTCAGGCATGGTAGATCTTGCTGACTTAATCTAACACCAAGTTACTGTAACTAATTTAAAAGGAAATGTGCAGCACCTAGAGGGGAGAACCAACAATCAGATGTTGGGAGTTGAAGGTTAAACTGCTCATTAGGCCACTCCTTATTAACACTTTTGTCAGAATGAGAGTGTAAAATTAGGATCATTTACCAAAGGCCAGGGAAAAATGAGAGGTGGCTTTGTCAGTTGCAGGATTAAAATTAAACTTTAAACTTAGAGCAGTTTTATTGGTACCTTTTTTGTAATTGTCCCCTTGTTTTCTTGTAATAAGTGTCGAGATTGGAGACCCAGAAGACAAGGTCTTCATCCAAGAATTGGCCAGATTGGAGTTTACCACCACCTTCAGAAGATAACCTGAGTCAGGAAACTTGGAAAGAAACCACCATGGAAATGAGAGATGATGAAGCTGGAGAAAGAGATGTTTCTTCAGATGGGCAGAACTTACAGGAATTTTTGAATGGTGACTCTTCTTTGTCATCACCTGCACCTTTACCAAGCCAGTTGGAGCAATTTGCTGCACCTGGCACAAGTGTTACAGAGAAAGAGGAAGGAAGGAGTTTAACATGGCAGATTGACTCAGATCATGGTTTGTCTTCAGATGACTCACAACCAGTTACAACCAGTTACTCATAACCAGTCACTTGCGTAGGACAGAGAATAAATCCTGACTTCCTAGGAGTAATTGAACCTCAGACCTTTTGATTCTGCATTTCAATTTTACCACTGAGCCACAGAGACTCTATGGAGAGCAAAGCCATCACAAAGTTCATATATGACATGTGTCCTGCATACTGCTAGGATCAGGAATGTTGATAACGTACTGCTGATAGTATGCTGATCCTAGCAGTATGCAGGATGTGTGTCAAATAAACTTCATAATGGCCTTGTTCTCTACAGTGTCTCTATGGCTTAGTGGTAGAGCATTAGAACATGGAATCCGAAGGTCAGAGGTTTGATTTCTCATGGGAACTCTAAACTTTTTAATTGTCCCACTCTCATGACAAAATAAAAAAACATCTTTCTATATTTCTTTAACAAGCTTAAAATTTACCATCTTTCTTATTCTTTTCAGAAAATTGCTCCTTACAGCTTGAGGATCAGAATGGACAGAACTTGCAGGAAAACAGAAGAATGTCTAGGGCCCCTCTTTTATCGTTGCCAGCACATGTTGTGCGTGAAACCATGGCAAGCCATTGCCAGCAGGCATCAGCACCAGACAACCACAGTGGTTCAGCATCCCAGATTGACACCATTCCCAGTTTATATTTAGATGACTCAAGGACCTTAAGCACTGGAACAAGGCCAGTGACCCCTGAAGGAGCAAATAAGCCTGTGGGCAGTATTACAGTTCATCAATTACATCTGAACCCTGTGGCTGGTCAGGAAAATGATGTGGTTGGAGAAACTGGTCTACATATAGCGGATGACCCAGAAGCAAGGGAATACCAAGGAGCCATCCCAAAAAGGAGCCGGTATCAGCCTTCACACAACACTGTTAAGTATGATGTCAGGCAGGAATTATTCATAGGTCTACCAGGTAGTGAGTCAAATTAAAATCTACCCTCCATACTAGCAGGAAATTTTAGAGTTAATTATCCTCACTCTAGTTCTCCTCCTTCAGAATCAAGTGAAAATGCTACAAGAAATTCTGGTGGTTGTGAAATTCTTTGGGATTCCTCACTACAAAATGAAAATCAAGATACTGGGTTCTTCTCAGAAGAAGGTAACTCCCACCCCCAGATGACATCATTATCCACTGCTCCGGTGGACACACCTACCTCAGGGCATGAAGGTGTCCAGTACCAAATCAGTGCATCCAGTCTAAGTATACTTGAAGGTGGAAAAACTAAACATCAGATTCAGTCAATGTCAAGCCTCTCCAACGAGCAGCTTGATCACTTTGAAATAGTACTAGCCAGACCCAACACTCCTGAAGGAGCACAGCCTGATAGAAACTCCCCCTCACTAGTGACTGGACGTCATATCAACAGGCCAAACCAGACTGACCCAGTGGAAGTGGATGTTGTCCTAGAAAATGGTCAAGGAATTGATGGAGCTGTAGAACATTATGATGCCATAGAAAATAATGGTCTCCTGGAAGAAACGAAACAGGTAACAATGTGCTGTTGTGCAACAGTTATTGTGCAAGAATTAAATAATTATCTGAAAAGAAGGAAAAGCCAATCAAACCATGTGGCTTCTGTCTGGGTCTCAGAAATCTACAGTTTGCAAGATTTATATGTTGATTGTTTTGTCTAGGGGTCAAAATTCAAGTTAGCTGGTATGAGATGTAAAATGAAATGCTCAATTAAAAGTCAGCTGATTGTCTTCTACCTGAACTGGATTCATTTGTGTAGAGATAACATATTTTTACAAGTAGTTGTAGAATTTTAGGCTGTGTGGGCCTTAAAACTCCTATCATTAAACTGCTTTAATTGAACACAACAAAATCCTCAGGTTTGATTTAAGACTTGAAAGTGTCCTATTTACTCCAGAATTGTCTGGAACACTTGAGAATGAATCATATATTAAACCATAATTTGTTATATTTTAGGTGCTTGAATGTATTTCTTAAACTAAGACTGTATCATCATGACTTTTTTTCAGAAATTAGAATCCTCAGAGAAAAGTGTCCTGTATTTAACAAAGGTAAGTTGTGTATGAATCAATAGAGGATTTTTAAATATTCAATAGAAATTTTAATTGAGTGAATGGTTCAACCTGTTTCAAAATTTTTTTTGATATTTGTACTGTTGCCAAAAGCCAAGAGAAAAAGATCTGCATAACATGCCTCAACCTTAATCTGTGTAATTATTAAAGCTTTAAATAGTGGTGATGCCTTTTTCCCAAGTGTTTGGAAGAAGCTGCTCATGTCAAAGAGAAATAAAGGATTTCCTTATAGTGTTTGCACAATACCTTTTCTTTAGCTGTAGTTATTCCTAGCTTCATATTTACATAATACACAGTTTGCCACGAAATCTTTGTGTAGTGACACTTTCCCCTCTATTCTTTAATTTGTTTTATTTAATTTGTTATTGGTTGCCATATAAAGGTTTGAAAAATGTAGTGAAATGTTGATTGTTTAATAATTTTTACTTAAATGCAGGTATTTCTTCTACTTAATTATAATATAAAGGCAGTCAATTGCATTCAAACTCTACAAACTTAGGGTATTGGATAATAGAAGAATTGAGAGCACATCATGGAATGGTCTTATTTTGAATTGCCTAACTTGATATTGTAATCATTTCATCAGAAATTAAGAGAAAAAGAGTCATGTTGCCAAACTCTCAGGGCAGATCTGTTCCAGTCGAGGCAAACTTTGAAGGTATGTCAAGAGTGAGGAGTTGAAGGGGCTAAAGGGAGCTATTCAAGGCAGTTTTAAGTGCTTTTTAAGCTTAGACTCATTGTAATAGCCAGCAGTTATTTGTTGATAACTCCAGATGGCCAGGAGGTGAAAGGTGTCTTCACTGGCTTGAAATGTCTCTGACCTTAAAATGATTTAGCAATGGTCATTTACAGTAGATCTGTATATTCTATTACATTATATCTATGTTACATTAACTAGTAGATGTGGGAGCAGTCAGTCTTTGAGTTTCATATTCATTATCACCACAAAACTGTGACTGCTGTGTATACTCTTTTAATTATGACTGGTTTGTTCTAGGAATCGAGGCAGCAGTGTGCCAATTTAAAGGTTTTCAGTGATCATTTGCAGGAAGAAAATCAAGAGGTAAGACAAAGCATCATACAGTCAAGCAGAAAGACCACCTGTGTGGATCCTTAGCAGATCCTGACATTAACATTTGGCTCTCAGTTAAGGAACTTTCAATCATTTCTGAAAATCCTTTCGTGGATTTGTTTTTGAAAGTAGATGCTGTAATTACTGATCCTTTTTGCTGAAAAATACTAAGGAACCAAAGTCACAGAAAAAAATGAGAATTATACCAATTATTGTCACTGCTTCAAAGAATCATCAATTAAGCTTCTATATAATGTTTCAGATGGAAAAGAAACACTACATTACTGCTTTAATCAGTGCTTGTTGTTGTTTAATCTACATTTAAGTAGGCTTATTTCTGAGTGAAATTTAGTTTATTTAGATAGGTATTCAGTCTTTATATTTACTTAGTATTCCTTCTATTTACTTAAAATTAGTCCTCCCAAATGTAATATGAGACAGCCTTCTTAAAGGTATTTTTAAGTGGTTTAAGACTATTGATATTAATAAGACTGATTGTCTAAAGTTAAGGTGAAGGTGAAGTTTGCCATCTTAAAAACTATTACTTCTTTTCTTTCAGCTGAGGAGAAGTTTGGAGGAACAGCAGCATTTGTCAAATAGGATACTTGAGGTTTGGTTTGCACTTTGATTACTTCAGTATTGAGCTCTGAATATTATTCACTGATTTACGACATGTGAATCTAGGTGTGGACTTAATTATCACAGCACTTCACAGGAATCAACATTGCTTGAAAGATTTCTAGTGAAATATTTGCCTACATTTGAGTGAGTGTTTTTTGTATGTTTGTTTGTTTGTCAGGTTGTCGATGTTGTTTTTGTGCTGTCTAATCACAGCTCAAGTTATGCCTGGCAAAATAGTTTTTACTAGCAAAGTGTATCTTTGATGCATAATTGTTGCAGAAGCAACCTTTTAACATTGGAAGGCAATTTCTCTCTTGACATATTATTCCTTCTGGTTCTCTGTTTTCTTTCCCAGTTTGACTGTGCTGGAGTGATATCACTCCCTGAAAAAAACTTTAAAACTCTAGAAATTAATAAACATGAAACATTTACACATGAAATAATTGTTTCAGGACAATCGCCGGTTGTGGTTATTAGTAGCAAGGCGAGCCAGTGATGTTGCATCTGAAGAAAGCAGTGCAGCTGTAGAGGAGGACAATGCGTCAGATAGAAGCGTAAGTGCAATTTTTAACCGTTCTGTGATTTAAAAAGTCATGGCTCTAGTACATCAATGGTTGCATTTGGCATCAAAGCAGCTGGTGTTACATAAAATCCAAGCTGCTTGAAGTTACCATATTTGATATGTACTTTAAACCTTGGAATCTTGTTCATACTGATGCTAATATAGGACCATGTTGTTACTTTTTGCCAAGAGTACCTTGAGCTTGAAGAAGCAAGGTTATGTATTCATTATGAACCTTGGTACTGAGCTGGATCTAGACTTCTTTTACCGAATTTCTGAGTGCTATAATGTAAAAGCTTTTTACATTGATGATTACTGATGTCTGATTTGTGTGTGAGTTTTTTCTTTGTTTTTTTTTGTTTTGTGTAATGTTTCTATAATTTTGTTTTTACATTGAAGAGGATCCATCAAATGGACCAAGGAAGTGAATGTTCTCAGACCCAAATAGCAAATCTGAGAAGAGAGAGTCAAGAACTTTCTGAGGTACTTTGTGTGTGATTGCTTTGGATAAACTTAATAAACATTTGTTGTCACACTCATTTACTTTATTCACTTATTCTCCATATAAAGCAAAATGTCAAGTGAAAATAAATCACAAAATGCTAACTGATTTGATGCACTTAGAAATGTAACAGGATATTGAAAAGTGAAACTATATAAAATAAATTTGCATACCAACATTTGCGGCTCTAGTTCTCAGGAAAATATCCAAACATATGTGTTCACTGACTCAACTAATCATTTACTCATCAAGTTTCATATACTGCAATACGATAAAGATTATGATGTCATGGTAACATTGTGATTCAAGTGAACATTTAATTTACACTTTGAGATGAATAGAAAATGTTAGGAAAATGTTAGGCAAATAAAAATTTGTCTGGATATTTTATTCGGACACACCTACTGTAAAAACATTTTAACATCAGCAGATGTATACACTCAATTTCAAGAAACATTGACCCTAAAAAGTGCAAGCAATGAGCTTTTGGTAACCACAATTAATTTAGTTGCATGCTGTAAATAATAGAAACCATCTACACTCTCTTGAAAAAAAAATTATTATAAACAAAGATTTTTTTGTGAGTAATGGAAATAAAGCATTGATTATGTAACTGAAATATTTTTACTCTTTCTTGTATTTCAGGACTTGAATGTAGTAGAAGCTGGCGAGGAGAGTGATGATGGTGAAGAAGTATTTGAGGATGCTCTGGATCATTTGTGATTGGTGTAAATCTGGAGATAAAGTTTACCTGCTCATTCTTAGATGGTTTGACATCTGAATTTTGTTGTGTAACTAAATGTCAATTGGTCTTTGAATTGCATTTGAAATCGGTGACAACTTTTTCTATGTGAGAAGTCATGTGCTGTAAGAAGTAGGCAAAGTTAGCTGAATTTTATAAGGGTTATTACATCATGCGAGCAACTTTTGTGAGTGCACATGCTTTTTAAAATTGTTTGGTGAATATAATTTTTTAATGATATTGAAAATGATGGCGAATGTCTATTTAAGGTGTTGCTATGTAGAATAATTAGTTGTATGCAATGAGTAATTTTTCATATGAAACAGTTGGCCTTTCCATACAAAGCTGCAAGAGGAAAAAGAATAGTAGCGTATGCAAGTTTGTTCCAAAAGTCCTAATGCAAGAAGCAGTCATGTCTTCATTTGTGTTTTTCCAAAGTTTCCAAGAAGTTTTCTCTATTGTATATTTTGTAGCTACCCCTTTAATGCAATCTCCGTAAAGTGGAGTATGTACTTTTAACTGTTTATGATAATTTAAATATTCTATTAGATTTAGTGTTGTTTACATCAGTATTTATAAGCTGAGGTTTTTATAACGTTCAGAATCACTTTTTCTAGATTTTCCTATAAACTCATTCCATGAATTCATTTTATTACATTGAGTTTATCACTTAATTCTCAAACTTATTCCATGAATTCATTTTATTACAGAGTGTATCACTTAATTCTTAAATTCATTCCATGAATTCATTTTATTACATTGAGTTTATCACTAAATTCTCAAACATTCCATGAATTCATTTATTACACTTAGTGTATCACTTAGTTCTCAAACTTATTCCATGAATTCATTTTATTACATTAAGTGTATCACTCAAGCTGATGTTTTTATAATGTTCAGAATCACTTTTTCTAGATTTTCTTACAAACTTATTCCATGAATTCATTTTATTACATTGAGTGTATCACTGAATTCTCAAACTTATTCCATGAATTCATTTTATTACACTGAGTGTATCACTTAATTCTCAAACTTATTCCATGAATTCATTTTATTACATTGAGTGTATCACATAATTCTCAAACTTATTCCATGAATTCATTTTATTACATTGAGTGTATCACTTAATTCTCAAACTTATTCCATGAATTCATTTTATTGCACTAAGTGTATCACATAATTCTCAAACTTATTCCATGAATTCAATTTATTACACTAAGTGTATCACATAATTCTCAAACTTATTCCATGAATTCATTTTATTGCACTAAGTGTATCACTTAATTCTCAAACTTATTCCATGAATTCAATTTATTACACTAAGTGTATCACATAATTCTCAAACTTATTCCATGAATTCAAATTATTAATCAGAGTGTGTCACTCAATTCTCAAATTTATTCCATGAATTCATTTTCTTACACTGAGTGTATCACTTAATTCTCAAACTTATTCCATGAATTCATTTTATTGGACTGAGTGTATCACTTAATTCTCAAGCGCATGCATTGTTAAATTTTACTGAAAAGCTGAGGTTTTCACTGCTTCTTTTTCTGGCCTTGGAACAGGCTAATGGGGGTGGTGGACGGAAAAATTTTTTGAACATTGAATATGATGATTTATTTTAACTGACTCAATTTATTTTTGACGAATTCTTAAAATTAATTTCAACTAGGGATTGGTCATTATTTATCTCTAAGGGAGGGGGGGTCTGAACACGGTCAAAATGGTGAGAGTTATTTTAATGACTAACAATATTGTAAAGGGAGAATTAATAACGATAGAATATAATATTCATAATTAATAATTAATCATGATAGATAATGAAATAATGATGATATTAGTAATGATAGAAAATAGTAAGTAATATATTTATGATATGCAGTCGTGTGTTCGCAGAGCCAATAAGAATTTCAAAAGCAGTTTTCAGGTTACCATTCTATTGACTGACTGAGAGAGAAAACGCTACTCCTTCTCTCTCTCTGCTAGATTTTTATTAAGTGATTGGAAAAGGATCAGGCTTCCTTAGGAAATTAACCGAACGGAAATGGAAGCATGTCGTTGTCTTGACGATTTAAATTCGATAGAAGTATTGGCCAAAATGCGTGACTGTATACCACTAAATTATGGGAAAAGTCTTACGTATTGTGTAAAGGTTATTATATGTCGTAGCTCGACAAAAAAATCAAGCTGTCATTTTGTAGATGCGATGTTTAAAAACATTAAAAGTATTTAATTTACCTCTTTTGTTCTATGTGTGCTGCTCTTAATCCTGACCAGTTTGTATCTGGAATCTGGAATTATCCATCGGACTATTTAGGAGAATAAAAAAACAGTTATCCACATTTAGACAATGACTAATGCTGCTCGGAAAAAATCACGTACTAGGAGTGCTGAAACGGCTGCTTGAATCAATAATTGTCACGATGTCCTGTTGCATTAAGTAAGCCAAACCCAAACGTCGTCCATATGGTAATACATCATTCCAACATTTTACAAGCGACTAAATACAGGAATGGCTCCGACCTGTGATTGGATGATAGAAATAGTAAAAGTTCATAACTTATATCTTAACTCCTTGCACGTGAGTATGGTTAACCGCGTGTCTCGAAGCGGAACAATGAAATATCAATGTGAAAAAACCGATGACTCAAACAAGAAATGGCTACCCACATAATGAAGAGAAGCTAGGGTCTAGCTTGTTCAGCGAGGTCGTTCAGCGATATTCCGGCGATGAAAAAGTCATCTGCTGACTAGCTCCGCTGACTAAATTCATTTAGTCAGTCCACGCGCACGACCAGAGACTGGAGCCATTCCTGTATTTCACCGCAGACAGGAATAGCTCCGACTCAAACGTTTAATAATTTTTTTTCAATAATTTTTAAGTAATTTTTAAACAGTTTTTGAAAATAAAATTTAAAACTAAACTAGTGAGCAGCGCTGTGCGAACAGTAGTTTTAAAACAGATGAAGAGCCCGATGAATGGATTTGTCCTTCATGTGAACAATAACCTAGAAAATCAGTTTTCCACGAAAAAAAAACTCCCTCGATTGTGGCCAAGCCATATTTCTCCAGCAGAGCATACTGTAAATTAAAAACATCTGTTGCAGGGTCACGCAACATTGCGTGATTTTCCAAACGTGAGATGCAGTTGCTGCATTATTTTAAAACTTAGGAACTACATAGCCCTGTAGTAAGAAAAGAGGGCTTCACTTGCAAGCAGTGTAGACTTCAACTTTAGAAGAACCTAATAAATCGCCCTTTCAGTTTTTATCTCAGTGTATGAATTATTTAGCCGGAACGAAAAAAAATTTAACATACGCATGAGTTGGAGCCATTCCTGTCTGCGGTGAAATACACGAATGGCTCCAGTCTCTGGTCGTCCGCCTAAACTGACTAAAACTGAGTTTTGTCAGCTGAGCTTGTCAGCGGATGACTTTTTTATCGCCGGAATATCCCTGAATGACCTTGCTGAACAAGCTAGACTCTGCCTTCTCTTCATTATGTGAGTAGCCATTTCTTGTTTGACTCATTGGCGTTTTCACATTGATATTTCATTGTTCCGCTTCGAGACACGCGGTTAACCATACTCACGTGCAAGGAGTTAAGATATAAGTTATTAACTTTTACTATTTTTATCATCCAATCACAGGTCGGAGCCATTCCTGTATTTAGTCGCTAGTAACATTTTGTCGTCAGCCATTGTATCTATATGGCATTCAGCCATGACGTTTATACCATCGTGGCTTTGAAAAAGCCACAAACTCTCCCCAGCCTCCTAAGGACACAGATGTAATGAGATGCCTTGTATGAACGAGACTGACAATAAGTTACTCGTGGATTAAATGTGGAGCACACAGAAGATAGAGAAAGTTCAGACAGACGTTATTTTGACAGCGAGTGCGCTATTTTTATTTTGCACTGGTGTACTCGTGTTACATGAAAAATGCACTCGTTTTCAGCCAATCACACGCGTGTCATTTTGTCGTGTATATCATTATTGCCTATTCAAATTTACTTTGGTGGACCCATCCTGAGGTTGAATGCTGAAATTCCCCCATCTTTGAGACCACCATCATTATCATTACTGCTATTGTTACAAATTGTGTAACTGTCATATGATATTCACACATTCACAGTCGTTCACTGTTATTATTATCATTTTATTAATATTATTATGATTATTATTCGAACGTATATTTAGTCACTATATTCTTGAGTAATCTTTCTGTAGTGGAACAGGTTACTCCTCAATAGGAGTGACCTACCTATCCAAAAAGATAGGTCTTGCCTGCGTAGCATGCCTGTGTTTTTATGTGGGAGAGAAATTTAGTCTCTTGGCCCCGGTTGCTTGAAGATTGAATAACACTATCCACTGAATAAATCTTTACCTGGTGGATAACACTACGTTTTGCTATCACTTATCCGCTGGATAGCGATTTATCCGTCGGATAGCGTTATCCACCCTTTATACAACTGGGCTCAGGACCGTAGAATGTGAAGACTCTATGAGGTGTGAACCTCAGGTATTTCTTCGGTATTCAACACTCCTAGAAGTACGGTTATTATGCTTGTTTAACTCCAAGAAAAAATACTAGCAAAATTATTTTGTTTCTTGGGTAAATGTGTGTTTGTAGGGGATCGTTGTAAACATTATCTGGGGGGTTGGGGGATACGTAAGCGACGTGAAGTCGTGAAGTCGTACCCTCTCCCCCCCTCAAGGTGAAACGGAAGCGAGGGGACCGTTTCACCTTATGCAGGGGGAGGCTACGGCTACACGTAGGCTAGAGGATACGCACCAACGAAAACTCAACTAACAATATCACAACTCAAAATTAAACCCCTACGAATGCATTAGATAGCACTAAGGTGCTTTGAAGCCATGGGGTTACTGATTGAAATATGCTTGCGTATTATAACTCCCTTCAAGGGAACGTGCTCGTGTTTTCTGGCTCTCCTCTCCAAATCAGCCAGGAACAGGTGCTAGACTGGCCTCGCCAGAGTATTGTGATAAGAGAGTACTGGAAGGAATAGCATGATAGATCCTAATATCTTTAAAGTGGTTAAATTTCCATCTTAAATGGAAGAATGTAAAACAAAAAAAACAGCCATTCAGAAAGGTAAATACCCAAGGCTTCAGGCTCTCTTTCTCTTAATCTATTTCCCGCTCATTTCCCGCCAAAGAATTCGCCAATCACTAAGGCAAATAGTGACGTAACTGCACTGGTTTCAAAGTCCATTACGTAGGAAACGCCATTTTGAGTTGTCTGGTCGTGAAATTGTGGGCGTAATTGATTTCATCCGGGTCGGAATTGTTTTTATTGGTTCGATTTACTCAACACTGTTAGGATATGCTAGAGTCTTAACCGAGTAAACGCTATTTGAAGTCAGAGTAAAGGCAGTTAGGTTCCTACGCACTTTCATCAATCGGTATGTATCTTTCCAATTTTACGGTGTGAGAAAATGTTGAAGTTTTTACTGATAATTCGATATCAACTGTGTGCTTCTATAACTAAGACCTGTATATGTATCTGCCTATTTGTATTTTCGGCCCCCCAAAAGTTCAATATACAGAAGTGAACGCAACCTAATTTAATATTCGATCGCAACTGTAATAAATAACAGCATGCGATCGAATATTAAATGAGCATGTTACTTCAACGAACTAGTATTGATTCTAAGTGCGCTAAGTACCGTGCAAGCCTTTTTCGAGTCAAGGAAAACATCTTGAAAACTACTTAACATAAGAATACTTGAGAATAACCATGTGAATTTTTCGAGAACCCTACTTTTAAAACAGAGACAAAGATAATAATGTATTTTCACAGTGATCCACTTCTGATTGGTTGGTTGCATATGTTATGAATTTAGTGTGGGCTTTTTTCATGTGTAAATCTCAGCATGTATGAAATAAATTCAAGATTGCCATTTTTTGTGTACATGTTCAGTACAAAATCATCAAGTCATTTGTTTGTCATCCAGATGGAAAAGTTTGATCTGCAACAAATATCAATGGACACTCTGGCGTTGTAGTAAGAAATTCAATTGAGTTGCAATTAGGTTCCTATTGTTGGTATTATGTCTCTAATGAGAACTTACTGTATTTTGTTCAGAAATGGAATCAGCTGATAGGCGACATTTGGATGTTTCTCCCACCTTGAAAGCAAAATTGTTGGAGCTTTTAGAGTCGAAAAAACTTCCTTTGGAGGAACTAGCCCAAGCCTTGTACATTCATGATACCTCCCCTTATGCAACAGTTGCTGATCTTGTTAACCAGTATGAAAGCAGAAATCAAGCACTGACATTAGAAAAATGGAAGTTCATTTTTAAGAAGCTGCATTTGTCCAAGGAACTTGAAGATCTTTTGGCTGTGGATCAGAGTGTAATGATGATTAATCCAACAGCTGTGGGTGAAGTAAACTGCAGTGGGTCACTACCAGCAGAGAAGTCTCTGCAAGGAACTCAACCTAGTCAGGACCTAGTTGAACCAAGAGGTGTTCCTTTACAAGATAAGCCTTTTCTTTGTGTGAATGGTGAGTTTACCTCGTAGTTAAAGAAAAATCATGTGTTTCTTAATGTGTTACTATGAACTATATATATGTGACTGCAAACATGCCTTCATTTTGACAATGATCAAATGTGCTATTTAAAGTGTTCCTTTGCCTTTCGCCTTATGGTGCCTGAGTGGTGTAAAGTGATAACATCAGCATTAAATATTTTGTTGCCAGTTGAAAAGTTGCTTCTTTATTTTCCACAAATCTGGTCTTAGTGCAATGTATTGATAAATATGAAGTAACTTCTTGAAATTCTGCACCTGCATTTAAAAGGAGTGGTCATGTATGTACATTCAGAATGTGTGTCATAAGATGGAGGTGTTCGATGACAACAGACTTTGTTTATACAAGTTTCATCCTTTTTTCTCAAGATCAGAAACACTAGACAATATGAGGTACTCTTGAATTTGACTCATTTACAGGTAACTGAAAAACACAAAAAAATCTAGTTGCCGAGGTAGCAACCAAACCAGAACTTTTAGCATTTGGTTGCAATCTTGAGCCCAGCTTTTGTCTAACTTGGAAATCTGCATGGTGCTATATATCTTACTTCTTATCAATGTTCCATCAGTAGTCAACCAGAGGTTGCAGGTTTTATATACATTTGTATAACACCCATCTCGGTTATTCTGCTGTAATGTATTTTGTAATTTTAAAGGAGAACTGAAGCCTTTTGATTGAAACATTTTTAAATTGCAGCTTAGAGTTCAAATGTAAATGCTTGAACTTTTTGTCAGCCTTTGGGTCCAACTTCACCTCAAAAAAATAGTTTTATGCCTTATTTTGACCTTGTAGAACCACAATACAGAATTGATTAATTTGCCCTGAAAGACTTAAACTGACATGAAAAACTATTTGATTAATTAGTAAATTGTTAGGGGATTTCATTTGTTCATTGCATGTTAAAAAAAAAAACTTTTTTTTTTAACTCTAACAGAATAACTGTCGATATAAGACTTATATAATTGCATATTAAAGATTGCAAGTAATATTATCAAACCTTTTCTACATTGTTCATGTACATATTGAGAATTTGCTGTTTTATGTTACTTAGTTCTTGTGATACATGTTCATCTGGGAATTTTTATTATAAGCTTAATGTTTCATTTCACTCTCATGTATGTACTCTTAAGTATTCATCTTCTTTTGCTCCAGATCCTTCCTTAAAATTGCCAGTAGTTAACCCAAGGGCAAGAGAAGGAGCCATCCCAAAAACTAAACAGCCTCAGCCTCCACCCAGCACTGTTAAGCCTGATGTTGGGGAGAAAATGTTGATTGGTGCACCTGGAAGTCAGTCTGATTTAAATCTACCCTCCATACCAGGGGGAGATTTTGGTGATAAATGTCCTCAATCCTGGAGTCTCCACTCTCCAGAGTCAATTGAAAGTGCTGAGTGGAATGCTGCTGATTGTTCAATTCTTTGTGATTCTTCAGTACAAAATGAAAGTCAAGATACCGGGTTCTTCTCAGGAGAAGGTAACTCTTGCGCCCAGACAACATCATCATCCACTGCTCTATTGTACACACCTGCCACAGGGAATGAAGAATATCAGGACCAAAATGGTGCCTCTACTGTTATACCTGAGCCGGGAAAAGCTAAACATGGGATTCAATTGCTGCCAAGCCTCTCAGAGGATTCCCAAATGCAGCCTGGTCGTTCAAGAACCCCAGCTATACTCACTTCTCCTGAAAGAGCACAATCCAAGCACAGTCCTTCTACTCCAGATTCTTCATTAACAAACATAGAGAATGACCTAAGAGCTAGGGAATACCAAGGAGCCATTCCAAAAAGGAACTGGCATCAGCCCTCACACAGCACTGTTACGCATGATGTTAGGCAGGATAGTGAGTCAAATTTAAATCTACCCTCCATACAAGCAGGAGATTTTACGGGCAATTGTCCTCAATCTAGTTCCCCTCCTCCAGAATTGATTGAAATTGCTGCAAGAAATTCTGCTGGTTGTGAAATCTTTTGTGATTCCTTGTTACGAAATGAAAATCAAGATACTGAGTCCTCCTCAGAAGAAGGCAACTCCCTCTCCCAGATGACATCATTATCCACTACTCAAATGGATGCACCTGCCTCAGGGCATGAAGGTATTCAGCACCAAAACAGTGCATCTGCCACTATACCTGAAGGTGGAAAAACTAAACATCAGATCACCAAAAGGCAGCTAGATCACTGCAAAATAACACCAGCCAGACCCAACACTCCAGAAGGAGCACAACCTGGTAGAAACTCCCTCTCACTAGTGACTGGACGTCATAACAGCAGGCCAAACCAGACTGGTGAAGAAGATGACAGAGCTGTAGAACATTATGATGCCACAGAAAATAATGGTCTACTGGAAGAAACAAAACAGGTAATAATGTGCTGTTGCACTTACACAATAATTTAATCATTAAAAGAAAAAAAGAAAGAAAAGCCAATTGAACCATGAGGCCTTTGTCTGGGTGTCAGGAATTTACAGTTTGTAAGATTTGAGACCATAAGCAGCTGAATGTGTTATTTTTAGGGACTCACACATATAATTATGTTGATTGTTTTCCTGGGGGTCAAAGTTAGGTTGTGTGAGATGTAAAATGAAATACTCAGTTATAAGTCAGCTGGTTGTCTTGTGTCTGAACTGAATTCACCTGTGAGGAGATAGACAAGTGTATTTTAACAATAGTGTGGAATTTTAATGCAGTGTGGGCCTAAAAATTCATATCTTAATGAAACTGCTGGAATTTAACACAAAATCCCTAGGTTTTATTAATACTTGAAAGTGTCCTATTAATTCAAAAATTGTCTGGAAGACACAGTAATAAATCTTATATTAAAACATAATTTATTATTTTTAAGATGCTTGCATTTCTGAAACTTAGACTGTGTCATCATGAATTTTTTTCAGGAATTAGAATCCTCACAGAAAAGTGTCCTGTATTTAGTAAAGGTAAGTTGCACATAAATCAATAGAGGATTTGTAAGTATTTCTGTTGAAATTTTAATTGAGTTTATGATCCAACCTGTTATAATTTTTTTCAATCTTTGTACTGTTACCAAAAGAGAAAAAGATCTGGATATCATGCCTCAACCTTAATCTGTGTAACTATTAAAACTTTAAATAGTGGCAATGCCTTTTCCCCAAGTGTTTGGAAGAAGCTGCTTGCATCAAAGAGAAATAAAGGATTTCCTAATAGTGTTTGTACAATAACTTTTCTTTAGCTGTAGTTATTCCTAGCTTCATATTTACATAATACACAGTTTGCCACTAAATCTTTGTGTAGTGACACTTTTCCCTCCTTTTCTTTGCTATATGGAATTGGCAGCAATTGGTAATTATTTTGAAATTAATTTGTTTTATTTACTTTGTTATTGGTTGCCATATAAAGGTTTGGATGAAACATGTTGTGAAATTTTGATTGTTTAATCATTTTTACTAAAAAGCAGGTATTTCTTCTACTTGTAATATAGAGGCAGTCAATTACATTTGACCAAACTCTTCTAATCTAAGGTATTACATAGATTATAATAAAAATGGAGGGCACATCATGGAATGGTCTTATTTTGAATTGCCTAACTTGATATTGTAATCATTTCATCAGGAATTAAGAGAAAAAGTGTCATTTTGCCAAACTCTCAGGGCAGATCTGTTCCAGTCAAGGCAAACTTTGAAGGTATGTCAAGAGTGAGGAGTTGAAGAGGCTAAAGGGAGCTATTCAAGGCAGTTTTAAGTGCTTTTTATGCTTAGACTCATTGTAATAGCCAGTTATTTGTTGATAACTCCAGATGGCCAGGAGGTGAAAGGTGCCTTCACTGGCTTGAAATGTCTCTGACCTTAAAATGATTTAGCAATGGTTATTTACAGTAGATCTGTATATTCTATTGTGTTACATTAACTAGTAGATTTGGGAGCAGTCAGTCTTTAAGTTTCGTATTCATTATCACCACAAAACTGTGACTGCTGTGTATACTCTTTTAATTATGACTGGTTTGTTCTAGGAATCCAGGCAGCAGTGTGCCAATTTAAAGGTTTTCAGTGATCATTTGCAGGAAGAAAATCAAGAGGTAAGACAAAGCATCATACAGTCAAGCAGAAAGACCACCTGTGTGGATCCTTAGCAGATCCTGACATTAACATTTGGCTCTCAGTTAAGGAACTTTCAATCATTTCTGAAAATCCTTTCGTGGATTTGTTTTTGAAAGTAGATGCTGTAATTACTGATCCTTTTTGCTGAAAAATACTAAGGAACCAAAGTCACAGAAAAAAATGAGAATTATACCAATTATTGTCACTGCTTCAAAGAATCATCAATTAAGCTTCTATATAATGTTTCAGATGGAAAAGAAACACTACATTACTGCTTTAATCAGTGCTTGTTGTTGTTTAATCTACATTTAAGTAGGCTTATTTCTGAGTGAAATTTAGTTTATTTAGATAGGTATTCAGTCTTTATATTTACTTATTATTGCTTCTATTTACTTAAAATTAGTCCTCCCAAATGTAATATGAGACAGCTTTCTTAAAGGTATTTTTAAGTGGTTTAAGACTATTGATATTAATAAGACTGATTGTCTAAAGTTAAGGTGAAGGTGAAGTTTGCCATCTTAAAAACTACTATTTCTTTTCTTTCAGCTGAGGAGAAGTTTGGAGGAACAGCAGCATTTGTCATATAGGATACTTGAGGTTTGGTTTGCACTTTGATTACTTCAGTATTGAGCTCTGAATATTATTCACTGATTTACGACATGTGAATCTAGGTGTGGACTTAATTATCACAGCACTTCACAGGAATCAACATTGCTTGAAAGATTTCTAGTGAAATATTTGCCTACATTTGAGTGAGTGTTTTTTGTATGTTTGTTTGTTTGTCAGGTTGTCGATGTTGTTTTTGTGCTATCTAATCACAGCTCAAGTTATGCCTGGCAAAATAGTTTTTATTAGCAAAGTGTATCTTTGATGCATAATTGTTGCAGAAGCAACCTTTTAACATTGGGAGGCAATTTCTCTCTTGATATATCATTCCTTCTGGTTCTCTGTTTTCTTTCCCAGTTTGACTGTGCTGGAGTGATATCACTCCCTGAAAAAAAACTTTAAAACTCTAGAAATTAATAAACATGAAACATTTACACATGAAATAATTGTTTCAGGACAATCGCTGGTTGTGGTTATTAGTAGCAAGGCGAGCCAGTGATGTTGCATCTGAAGAAAGCAGTGCAGCTGTAGAGGAGGACAATGCGTCAGACAGAAGCGTAAGTGCAATTTTTAACCGTTCTGTGATTTAAAAAGTCATGGCTCTAGTACATCAATGGTTGCATTTGGCATCAAAGCAGCTGGTGTTACATAAAATCCAAGCTGCTTGAAGTTACCATATTTGATATGTACTTTAAACCTTGGAATCTTGTTCATACTGATGCTTATATAGGACCTTGTTGTTACTTTTTGCCAAGAGTACCTTGAGCTTGAAGAAGCAAGGTTATGTATTCATTATGAACCTTGGTACTGAGCTGGATCTAGACTTCTTTTACCGAATTTCTGAGTGCTATAATGTAAAAGCTTTTTACATTGATGATTACTGATGTCTGATTTGTGTGTGAGTTTTTTCTTTGTTTTTTTTGTTTTGTGTAATGTTTCTATAATTTTGTTTTTACATTGAAGAGGATCCATCAAATGGACCAAGGAAGTCAATGTTCTCAGACCCAAATAGCAAATCTGAGAAGAGAGAGTCAAGAACTTTCTGAGGTACTTTGTGTGTGATTGCTTTGGATAAACTTAATAAACATTTGTTGTCACACTCATTTACTTTATTCACTTATTCTCCATATAAAGCAAAAGGTCAAGTGAAAATAAATCACAAAATGCTAACTGATTTGATGCACTTAGAAATGTAACAGGATATTGAAAAGTGAAACCATATAAAATAAATTTGCATACCAACATTTGTGGCTCTAGTTCTCAGGAAAATATCCAAACATATGTGTTCACTAACTCAACTAATCATTTACTCATCAAGTTTCATATACTGCAATACGATAAAGATTATGATGTCATGGTAACATTGTGATTCAAGTGAACATTTAATTTACATTTTGAGATGAATAGAAAATGTTAGGAAAATGTTAGGCAAACAAAAATTTGTCTGGATATTTTATTCGGACACACCTACTGTAAAAACATTTTAACATCAGCAGATGTATACACTCAATTTCAAGAAACATTGACCCTAAAAAGCGCAAGCAATGAGCTTTTGATCACCACAATTAATTTAGTTGCATGCTGTAAATAATAGAAACCATCTACACTCTCTTGAAAAAAAAATTATTATAAACAAAGATTTTTTTGTGAGTAATGGAAATAAAGCATTGATTATGTAACTGAAATATTTTTACTCTTTCTTGTATTTCAGGACTTGAATGTAGTAGAAGCTGGCGAGGAGAGTGATGATGGTGAAGAAGTATTTGAGGATGCTCTGGATCATTTGTGATTGGTGTAAATCTGGAGAGAAAGTTTACCTGCTCATTCTTAGATGGTTTGACATCTGAATTTTGTTGTGTAACTAAATGTCAATTGGTCTTTGAATTGCATTTGAAATCGGTGAAACTTTTTCTATGTGAGAAGTCATGTGCTGTAAGAAGTAGGCAAAGTTAGCTGAATTTTATAAGGGTTATTACATCATGCGAGCAACTTTTGTGAGTGCACATGCTTTTTAAAATTGTTTGGTGAATATAATTTTTTAATGATATTGAAAATGATGGTGAATGTCTATTTAAGGTGTTGCTATGTAGAATAATTAGTTGTATGCAATGAGTAATTTTTCATATGAAACAGTTGGCCTTTCCATACAAAGCTGCAAGAGGAAAAAGAATAGTAGCGTATGCAAGTTTGTTCCAAAAGTCCTAATGCAAGAAGCAGTCATGTCTTCATTTGTGTTTTTCCAAAGTTTCCAAGAAGTTTTCTCTATTGTATATTTTGTAGCTACCCCTTTAATGCAATCTCCGTAAAGTGGAGTATGTACTTTTAACTGTTTATGATAATTTAAATATTCTATTAGATTTAGTGTTGTTTACATCAGTATTTATAAGCTGAGGTTTTTATAACGTTCAGAATCACTTTTTCTAGATTTTCCTATAAACTCATTCCATGAATTCATTTTATTACATTGAGTGTATCATTTAATTCTCAAACTTATTCCATGAATTCATTTTATTACAGAGTGTATCACTTAATTCTTAAATTCATTCCATGAATTCATTTTATTACATTGAGTTTATCACTTAATTCTCAAACATTCCATGAATTCATTTATTACACTTAGTTTATCACTTAATTCTCAAACTTATTCTATGAATTCATTTTATTGGACTGAGTGTATCACTTAATTCTCAAGCGCATGCATTGTTAAATTTTACTGAAAAGCTGAGGTTTTCAGTGCTTCTTTTTCTGGCCTTGGAACAGGCTAATGGGGGTGGTTGATGGAAAAATTTTTTGAACATTGAATATGATGATTTATTTTAACTGACTCAATTTACTTTTGACCAATTCTTAAAATTAATTTCAACTAGGGATTGGTCATTATTTATCTCTAAGGGAGGGGGGGTCTGAACACGGTCAAAATGGTGAGAGTTATTTTAATGACTAACAATATTGTAAAGGGAGAATTAATAACGATAGAATATAATATTCATAATTAATAATTAATCATGATAGATAATGAAATAATGATGATATTAGTAATGATAGAAAATAGTAAGTAATATATTTATGATATGCAGTCGTGTGTTCGCAGAGCCAATAAGAATTTCAAAAGCAGTTTTCAGGTTACCATTCTATTGACTGACTGAGAGAGAAAACGCTACTCCTTCTCTCTCTCTGCTAGATTTTTATTAAGTGATTGGAAAAGGATCAGGCTTCCTTAGGAAATTAACCGAACGGAAATGGAAGCATGTCGTTGTCTTGACGATTTAAATTCGATAGAAGTATTGGCCAAAATGCGTGACTGTATACCACTAAATTATGGGAAAAGTCTTACGTATTGTGTAAAGGTTATTATATGTCGTAGCTCGACAAAAAAATCAAGCTGTCATTTTGTAGATGCGATGTTTAAAAACATTAAAAGTATTTAATTTACCTCTTTTGTTCTATGTGTGCTGCTCTTAATCCTGACCAGTTTGTATCTGGAATCTGGAATTATCCATCGGACTATTTAGGAGAATAAAAAAACAGTTATCCACATTTAGACAATGACTAATGCTGCTTGGAATAAATCACTTACTAGGAGTGCTGAACCGGCTGCTTGAATCAGCAATTGTCACGATGTCCTGTTGCATTAAGTAAGCCAAACCCAAAAGTCGTCCATATGGTAATACATCATTCCAACATTTTACAAGCGACTAAATACAGGAATGGCTCCGACCTGTGATTGGATGATAAGAATAGTAAAAGTTAATAACTTATATCTTAACTCCTTGCACGTGAGTATGGTTAACCGCGTGTCTCGAAGCGGAACAATGAAATATCAATGTGAAAAAACCGATGACTCAAACAAGAAATGGCTACCCACATAATGAAGAGAAGGTAGAGTCTAGCTTGTTCAGCGAGGTCGTTCAGCGATATTCCGGCGATGAAAAAGTCATCTGCTGACTAGCTCCGCTGACTAAATTCATTTAGTCAGTCCACGCGCACGACCAGAGACTGGAGCCATTCCTGTATTTCACCGCAGACAGGAATAGCTCCGACTCAAACGTATAAATAATTTTTTTTCAATAATTTTTAAGTAATTTTTAAACAGTTTTTGAAAATAAAATTTAAAACTAAACTAGTGAGCAGCGCTGTGCGAACAGTAGTTTTAAAACAGATGAAGAGCCCGATGAATGGATTTGTCCTTCATGTGAACAATAACCTAGAAAATCAGTTTTCCACGAAAAAAAAAACTCCCTCGATTGTGGCCAAGCCATATTTCTCCAGCAGAGCATACTGTAAATTAAAAACATCTGTTGCAGCGTCACGCAACATTGCGTGATTTTCCAAACGTGAGATGCAGTTGCTGCATTATTTTAAAACTTAGGAACTACATAGCCCTGTAGTAAGAAAAGAGGGCTTCACTTGCAGGCACTGTAGACTTCAACTTTAGAAGAACCTAATAAATCGCCCTTTCAGTTTTTATCTCAGTGTATGAATTATTTAGCCGAAACGAAAAAAAAATTAACATACGCATGAGTTGGAGCCATTCCTGTCTGCGGTGAAATACACGCATGGCTCCAGTCTCTGGTCGTCCGCCTAAACTGACTAAATGAGTTTTGTCAGCTGAGCTTGTCAGCGGATGACTTTTTCATCGCCGGAATATCCCTGAATGACCTTGCTGAACAAGCTAGACTCTGCCTTCTCTTCATTATGTGAGTAGCCATTTCTTGTTTGACTCATTGGCGTTTTCACATTGATATTTCATTGTTCCGCTTCGAGACACGCGGTTAACCATACTCACAAGCAAGGAGTTAAGATATAAGTTATTAACTTTTACTATTTTTATCATCAAGGAATAGCATGATAGATCCTAATATCTTTAAAGTGGTTAAATTTCCATCTTAAATGGAAGAATGCCAAACAAAAAAAAAACAGCCATTCAGAAAGGTAAATACCCAAGGCTTCAGGCTCTCTTTCTCTTAATCTAATTCCCGCTCATTTCCCGCCAAAGAATTCGCCAATCACTAAGGCAAATAGTGACGTAACTGTATTGGTTTAAAAGTCCATTACTTAGAAAAACGCCATTTTGAGTTGTCCGGTAGTGAAATTGTGGGCGTAATTGAGTTCATCCGGTTCGAAATTGTTTTCATTGGTTCGATTTACTCAACACTGTTAGGATATGCTAGAGTCTTAACCGAGTAAACGCTATTTGAAGTCAGAGTAAAGGCAGTTAAGTTCCTACGCACTTTCATCGATCGGTATGTATCTTTCCAATTTACCGTGTGAGAAAATGTTGAAGTTTTTACTGATAATTCGATATCAACTGCGTGCTTCTATAACTAAGACCCGTATATGTATCTGCCTATTTGTATTTTCGGCCCCCCAAAAGTTCAATATACAGAAGTGAATGCAACCTAATTCAATATTCGATCGCAACTGTAATAAATAACAGCATACGATCGAATATTAAATGAGCATGTTACTTCAACGAACTAGTATTGATTCTAAGTGCGCTAAGTACCGTGCAAGCCTTTTTCGAGTCAAGGAAAACATCTTGAAAACTACTTAACATAAGAATACTTGAGAATAACCATGTGAATTTTTCGAGAACCCTACTTTTAAAACAGAGACAAAGATAATAATGTATTTTCACAGTGATCCACATCTGATTGGTTGGTTGCATATTTGTTATGAATTTAGTGTGGGCTTTTTTTCATGTGTAAATCTCAGCATGTATGAAATAAATTCAAGATTGCCATTTTTTGTGTCCATGTTCCGTACAAAATCATCAAGTCATTTGTTTGTCATCCAGATGGAAAAGTTTGATCTGCAACAAATATCAATGGACACTCTGGCGTTGTAGTAAGAAATTCAATTGAGTTGCAATTAGGTTCCTATTGTTGGTATTATGTCTCTAATGAGAACTTACTGTATTTTGTTCAGAAATGGAATCAGATGATAGGCGACATTTGGATGTTTCTCCCACCTTGAAAGCAAAATTGTTGGAGCTTTTAGAGTCGAAAAAACTTCCTTTGGAGGAACTAGCCCAAACCTTGTACATTCATGATACCTCCCCTTATGCAACAGTTGCTGATCTTGTTAACCAGTATGAAAGCAGAAATCAAGCACTGACATTAGAAAAATGGAAGTTCATTTTTAAGAAGCTGCATTTGTCCAAGGAACTTGAAGATCTTTTGGCTGTGGATCAGAGTGTAATGATGATTAATCCAACAGCTGTGGGTGAAGTAAACTGCAGTGGGTCACTACCAGCAGAGAAGTCTCTGCAAGGAACTCAACCTAGTCAGGACTTAGTTGAACCAAGAGGTGTTCCTTTACAAGATAAGCCTTTTCTTTGTGTGAATGGTGAGTTTACCTCGTAGTTAAAGAAAAATAGTGTGTTTCTTAATGTGTTACTATGAACTATATATATATGTGACTGCAAACATGCCTTCATTTTGACAATGATCAAATAATTATGCTATTTAAAGTGTTCCTTTGCCTTTTGCCTTTTGGTGCCTGAGTGGTGTAAAGTGATAACGTCAGCATTAAATATTTTGTTGCCAGTTGAAAAGTTGCTTCTTTATTTTCCACAAATCTGGTCTTAGTGCAATGTATTGATAAATATGAAGTAACTTCTTGAAATTCTGCACCTGCATTTAAAAGGAGTGGTCATGTATGTACATGCAGAATGTGTGTCATAAGATGGAGGTGTTCGATGACAACAGACTTTGTTTATACAAGTTTCATCCATTTTTCTCAAGATCAGAAACACTAGACAATATGAGGTACTCTTGAATTTGACTCATTTACAGGTAACTGAAAAACACACAAAAATCTAGTTGCCGAGGTAGCAACCAAACAAGAACTTTTAGCATTTGGTTGCAATCTTGAGCCCAGCTTTTGTCTAACTTGGAAATCTGCATGGTGCTATATATCTTACTTCTTATCAATGTTCCATCAACCAGAGGTTGCAGGTTTTATATACATTTGTATAACACCCATCTCGGTTATTCTGCTGTGATGTTTTGTTTTATTTTAAAGGAGAACTGAAGCCTTTTGATTGAAACATTTTTAAATTGCAGCTTAGAGTTCAAATGTAAATGCTTGAACTTTTTGTCAGCCTTTGGGTCCAACTTCACCTCAAAAAAATAGTTTTATGCCTTATTTTGACCTTGTAGAACCACAATACAGAATTGATTAATTTGCCCTGAAAGACTTAAACTGACATGAAAAACTATTTGATTAATTAGTAAATTGTTAGGGGGTTTCATTTGTTCATTGCATGTTAAAAAAAAAACTTTTTTTTTTAACTCTAACAGAATAACTGTCGATATAAGACTTATATAATTGCATATTAAAGATTGTGAGTAATATTATCAAAACTTTTCTACATTGTTCATGTACATATTGAGAATTTGCTGTTTTATGTTACTTAGTTCTTGTGATACATGTTCATCTGGGAATTTTTATTATAAGCTTAATGTTTCATTTCACTCTCATGTATGTACTCTTAAGTATTCATCTTCTTTTGCTCCAGATCCTTCCTTAAAATTGCCAGTAGTTAACCCAAGGGCAAGAGAAGGAGCCATCCCAAAAACTAAACAGCCTCAGCCTCCACCCAGCACTGTTAAGCCTGATGTTGGGGAGAAAATGTTGATTGGTGCACCTGGAAGTCAGTCTGATTTAAATCTACCCTCCATACCAGGGGGAGATTTTGGTGATAAATGTCCTCAATCTTGGAGTCTCCACTCTCCAGAGTCAATTGAAAGTGCTGAGTGGAATGCTGCTGATTGTTCAATTCTTTGTGATTCTTCAGTACAAAATGAAAGTCAAGATACCGGGTTCTTCTCAGGAGAAGGTAACTCTTGCACCCAGACAACATCATCATCATCCACTGCTCTATTGTACTCATGAAGGAATGAAGAATATATCAGGACCAAAATGGTGCCTCTACTGTTATACCTGAGCCGGGAAAAGCTAAACATGGGATTCAATTGCTGCCAAGCCTCTCAGAGGATTCCCAAATGCAGCCTGGTCGTTCAAGAACCCCAGCTATACTCACTACTCCTGAAAGAGCACAATCCAAGCACAGTCCTTCTACTCCAGATTCTTCATTAACAAACATAGAGAATGACCTGAGAGCAAGGGAATACCAAGGAGCCATTCCAAAAAGGAACTGGTATCAGCCCTCACACAGCACTGTTAGGCATGATGTTAGGCAGGATAGTGAGTCAAATTTAAATCTACCCTCCATACAAGCAGGAGATTTTACGGGCGACTGTCCTCAATCTAGTTCCCCTCCTCCAGAATTGATTGAAATTGCTGCAAGAAATTCTGCTGGTTGTGAAATCTTTTGTGATTCCTTGTTACGAAATGAAAATCAAGATACTGAGTCCTCCTCAGAAGAAGGCAACTCCCTCTCCCAGATGACATCATTATCCACTACTCGAATGGATGCACCTGCCTCAGGGCATGAAGGTATTCAGCACCAAAACAGTGCATCTGCCACTATACCTGAAGGTGGAAAAACTAAACATCAGATCACCAAAAGGCAGCTAGATCACTGCAAAATAACACCAGCCAGACCCAACACTCCAGAAGGAGCACAACCTGGTAGAAACTCCCTCTCACTAGTGACTGGACGTCATAACAGCAGGCCAAACCAGACTGGTGAAGAAGATGACAGAGCTGTAGAACATTATGATGCCACAGAAAATAATGGTCTACTGGAAGAAACAAAACAGGTAATAATGTGCTGTTGCACTTACACAATAATTTAATCATTATCTGAAAAGAAGGAAAAGCCAATTGAACAATGAGGCCTTTGTCTGGGTGTCAGGAATTTACAGTTTGTAAGATTTGAGACCATAAGCAGCTGAATGTGTTATTTTTAGGGACTCACACATATAATTATGTTGATTGTTTTCCTGGGGGTCAAAGTTAGGTTGTGTGTGATGTAAAATGAAATACTCAGTTATAAGTCAGCTGGTTGTCTTGTGTCTGAACTGAATTCACCTGTGAGGAGATAGACAAGTGTATTTTAACAATAGTGTGGAATTTTAATGCAGTGTGGGCCTAAAAATTCATATCTTCATGAAACTGCTGGAATTTAACACAAAATCCCTAGGTTTTATTAATACTTGAAAGTGTCCTATTAATTCAAAAATTGTCTGGAAGACACAGTAATAAATCTTATATTAAAACATAATTTATTATTTTTAAGATGCTTGCATTTCTGAAACTTAGACTGTGTCATCATGAATTTTTTTCAGGAATTAGAATCCTCACAGAAAAGTGTCCTGTATTTAGTAAAGGTAAGTTGCATGCACATAAATCAATAGAGGATTTTTAAGTATTCTGTTGAAATTTTAATTGAGTTTATGATCCAACCTGTTATAATTTTTTTTCAATCTTTGTACTGTTACCAAAAGAGAAAAAGATCTGGATATCATGCCTCAACCTTAATCTGTGTAATTATTAAAACTTTAAATAGTGGCAATGCCTTTTCCCCAAGTGTTTGGAAGAAGCTGCTTGCATCAAAGAGAAATAAAGGATTTCCTAATAGTGTTTGCACAATAACTTTTCTTTAGCTGTAGTTATTCCTAGCTTCATATTTACATAATACACAGTTTGCCACTAAATCTTTGTGTAGTGACACTTTTCCCCCCTTTTCTTTGCTATATGGAATTGGCAGCAATTGGTAATTATTTTGAAATTAATTAGTTTTATTTACTTTGTTATTGGTTGCCATATAAAGGTTTGGATGAAACATGTTGTGAAATTTTGATTGTTTAATCATTTTTACTAAAAAGCAGGTATTTCTTCTACTTGTAATATAGAGGCAGTCAATTGCATTTAATCAAACATCAATCAAATACCAACTTAAGGTATTTCATAGATTATAACAAAAATGGAGGGCGCATCATGGAATGGTCTTATTTTGAATTGCCTAACTTGATATTGTAATCATTTTATCAGAAATTAAGAGAAAAGGAGTCATTCTGCCAAACTCTCAGGGCAGATCTGTTCCAGTCAAGGCAAACTTTGGAGGTATGTCAAGAGTGAGGAGTTGAAGGGGCTATAAAGGGAGCTATTCAAGGCAGTTTTAAGTGCTTTTTATGTTTAGACTCATTGTAATAGCCAGTTAATTAATGGCAACTCCAGAGGGCCAGGAGATGAAAAGTGCCTTCATTGGCTTGAAATGTCTCTGACCTTTAAATGGTTTAGCAATGGTCATTTACAGTACATCTGTATATTCTATTTTGTTACTGTTACTGTTACTAGTTGATGTGGTGCAGTCAACCTTTGAGATTTGTATTCATTAATTATTTCCACCTGTGACTTCTGTGTATACCAGTACTCTTTTAATTATGATTGGTTTGTTCCAGGAATCCAGACAGCAGTGTGTTAATTTAAGGATTTCTAGAGATAATTTACAGGCAGAAAATGAAGAGGTAAGACAAAGCATTATACAGTCAAGCAGAAAGAACACTTGTATGGATCCGGCTTAGCTAATCCTAACATTTTGGCTCTCAGTTAAAGAACTTTCAATCACTTCCGAAAATCGTTCAGCAGTTTTTTTTAAAGTAGATGCTATAATAACTGTTCCTTTTTGCTGAAAAATATTAAGGAACCTAAATTACAGGAAAAAAAAAATGAGAATTATACCAATTATTGCAACTGCTGCAAAAAAATCATCCTTTAAGCTTCCATAATTATATCAGATAAAAAGGAAGCACTAAATATTACTGCTGTAATCAGTGCTCGTTGTTTAATCTACATCTAAATAGCCTTACTTCCAAGGACAATTTAGTTTATTTAGATAGGTATTCAGTCTTTATATTTAGTTAAGTATTACTTGTATTTACTTAAAGTTAGTCCTCTGAAATGTAATATGATATAGATAATTATCTCTAAGTTATTTTAGTTTAAGACTATTAATATTTATAAGACTGATCATCTTAAGTTAAGGTGAAGGTGAAGTTTGCCAACTTAGAAACTATTATTTCTTTTCTTTCAGCTGAGGAGAAGTTTGGAGGAACTGCAGCATTTGTCATATAGGATACTTGAGGTTTGGTTTGCTCTTTGATTACTTCAGTATTGAGCTCTGAATATCATTCACTGATTTAAGACATGTGAATCTAGGTGTGGACTTAATTATCACTGACAGCACTCCTCAAGAATCAACATTTCTTGAAAGATTTCCAGTGAAATATTTGCCTACATTTGAGTGAGTGTTTTTTGTATGTTTGTTTGTATGTCAGGTTGTCGATGTTGTTTTTGTACCGGCTAATTGCAGCTCAAGTTGTCCCAGGCAAAATAGTTTTTACTAGTATAGCAACATGTACCTTCAATGCATAGTCTTGTTGCACAAGTAACCATTTAACATTGAGAAGTAATTTCTCTCTGACATATCATTCCTTGTGGTTCTCTGTTTCCTTTTCCCTATTTGACTGTACTGGAGTGATATCACTTCAAGAAATAAAAGCCATTAAAATTCTAGAAAATTAACCAAAATTTAATGTTTACACAATTGTTTAATTGTTTCAGGACAATCACAGGTTCAGGTTATTACTGGCTAGGCAAGCAGGTGATGTTGCTTTTGAAGGAAGCAGTGCAGCTGTAGGAGAGGGCAATGTATCAGATTGTAGCGTAAGTGCAATTTTTAACCATTTGATGATTTAAAAAGTCATAGTTCTAGTACATAAATGGTTGCATTTGGCATCAAAGTAGCTAGTGTTATAATATCCAAGCTGCTTGGCCTTACCATACTTGATCTGTACTTCAAACTTTGGAATCTTACTGGTAATGATGCTGATATGGGACCATGTTGTTACATAAGACCAAAAGTATCTTGGGCTTGAAGAGGCGAGGTTATGTATTCATAATGAACCTTGGTACTTAGCTTGATCTAGAGTTCTTTTACCAAATTTCTGGGTGCTGTAATGTAAAGCTTTTTAAAAATGTCTGTGTATTCTTACTTTGGCTAAATTTAACAATTATTTTGTCTTTTTGAGCTGACTCTAGCTGCAGCATTTTCTGAATAAATGAGTAAATATACCAACCTACATTTTACTTCTTAGGAATTTATAGTCCTTATAAATGAAATAAAATAAAATAATCATCAACTCCTCATTTCCAGATAGATAATGTTGAAATGTTTTTGTCTTTGAGCAGGAGGTTGAACCAGAAGCTGATGAGCAGCCAGGTCCATTTCCTTATCTCCAAGAGTCAGGTAAATTTGCAGTTGTTATACTGAGGTGATTAAATGTCAAAAAGAGCTGGGTAAATGTTTTTAAACAATAAACTTAATTTCCAAGCTACTAGTTGTAATTATTCAGGGTAATCAATACATTATTAAATTCTAATTATGTTGAAGTTATGATATGTTCAAAATTAGAAAGACAGTCACTATTTTGGCCCAATGCAAACAAGAGAAAGTTGATGGTGACTTAGTTTTGGGGGTTCTGTAACATGGAATGATCAGGGCTATTGTTACTCCCCGGCATATTTCTAAGGCTTCTCATGAGCTCATTGGAGTGTAAGGCTCTGGGAAAACCTATTGCACCTATGTCTTCTGAAGGTTTTGTTACATGTGTAAAACTATGAGAGAAGTTTAAAATTTATTTATATGATTTGTTTAAGACTCTGAAGATTCCAGTGATGATGAGTTCTTTGACGCACTAGACCAGACTTATATAGTAAATGAATGTGGAAAGAGTCTACTGAATCTTCCCTATCTTTGTGACCACATTAGTAACATCATCATCATCATCATAAGTGCTATTGTTACATATTATTTAATCTATATGATGTTTATAAATTCACGTTAATGCAACGTGAGATACCATGTTTGCCTCAGATGGCGGTTTATTGGCTGAGAAAATAGGTTAATGTTGTAAATATTTAAAAACTAGATGCATACCTGCAAGTGCTTTTAATGGTACAACTAGGCGTAGTCTACATTCAGTTTTTGCACACATTTCATGTGGAATTTTCAATGTGAAAGGCATGTGGAGAATTTAATCTCTCGTACAGCGCTTTTACAAGCATTTCAATTAGTTCTGGAAGCCTCCATGTGAAAAAAAGATGTAATTATCGCCTCGACAACAATCTGTACATGAGCAAATGTGAATTTAACTCTCAGGCCTTCTAGGTAGTGCTTGTGTAACATGTGCTATTAGTTTTTGTTAATATGTATTTGACACTTTGTCTAATAGCTGTCAAAAGGTTTGGTGATTTCTTGTACACAATCATAGATGAATGGATTGTGTGTGGACATTTTTAATAATGGAAGATCTTTCCAAAAATTCTCAATGAAAGAAAAAAATTAATAGATTCTTGGAAAAACACAAGAATTAGCTTTTCCTCTACTGGAGACATCAATTTTATCTTGCAATTTGGCGATTCCGTAGATGAATTGAAATGTACAATCAGCATTCAAGAAAACTAGCATCTGTAATGGTGTGCTTTTCCAATCTTCAGTCATAAGAGGCGAGCTTGTTATATTGATGATAACATATGATAGGCATGAACATACATGTATGTCAGTTTTTGGTAATATATACCGCATGAGATTTTAGAAAAAAAAATACAGTTAGCATTAAAACGTTTCTTGATTGATCATTTATGATAGAGAACAAATGAATAGTTATATGTAGATACAGTTATGATAGACAGTTGAGGGACATTAAGCCAAAAGCCAATTTTCAGTGACATATACCTAGTGAGATTTTAGAGAAAAATGCAGTTGACATGAAAACATTCTCTAAGTAATAATTTATGGTATAGGGTTAATGAACTGATATTTGTAGATATATTTATGATAGACAGTTAAAGGACATTAAGGCAAAAGCCATTTTGAGAATATTTTGAAAGTGACATGTTGACTTATTTAGAGAGAACATGATTATATTTTAACGGCAAAATTTTTCCAATAGCCTTAAAACTATTTTTCTCAAAATGTAGTGTCTTAAGCAATTGACTGTATAATTTTTTTGCTCCTTTTATATTATTTTATTTTCAGTTTGTAACAATTTATAAATTAAATGTCGCAAGTGAAGATATAAATTATCGAAATGTAAACCTTCGCTCTGACAAAGGGCTAACACTCTCTCAATTCTTTTTCCCAAGTATTGTGGAAAATGTGTGACTGCATACCACAAACAGACAAGAGTTATCAAATCAGTCTTACGTTCTGTGGTTTAAAGGTTAATGTACGTCCTAGCTAGACGAAAAAATGAAGCTGTTTGGCTTAGATGTGATTTTGAAAACATTAAAAGTATTTAGTTTATCCATGTTGTTCCATGCTTGTCTCTGGAATCTAGAATTATCTAGGGAAAAAAGTATTCTATGTCTAAAATTCGTCCGTATTTTAGTCAAAAATTAATCAATTGAAATTAATTAGGACTACTTCATTTGAAGTTCTGAACCCACTGTTCAAATCAGTCACTATGTCGCGTTGATTGCCTCCAGAAAAGACACAAACTCTCCCCATTCTCCTATGGACACAGATATAAGATGCCCCATACGGATGAGACAAACCATAGTACCCCTAAGGATTGAATATAGAGTACAGAAGAGACATCTGAGCTGAAAGGGACTTGAAAACCTCAAATTAACTCTACAAACTGTGGGGATACAGAAACAAAAACCATATTTTATAGACTTATGTCTAATGTATCTTCGGCCTGTCTGCATGGCTTATTTACTCACTCTGACCGGCTCAGCTTGCAACAAAAATTTCACATAAAATTTATTTTGGTGGACTCATATAGTAGATGAATTTGGAAAGAGTCTACTGAATCTTCTCTCTCTTTGTGACCACATTAGTAACATCATCATCATTATAAGTGCTATTGTTACATATTATTTAACCTATATGATGTTTATAAATTCACAGTTGTTTACTGTTATTATTATCATTTTTTCAATACCATCATGATTATTGGTTAAATGTCAAATTAGTCACTATAATAATAATCTTTATTGAGATACTGATACCTTTTTCACACAAATATGGTTTTCAAAAAGGATCTCGTGAATTATATTCTTGAGTAATCTCTCACTAGTGGAACAGGGTACTTATTAAGACATGTGGCTCACCCAAAAAGGTAAGTCTTGCTTGCTTAGCATGTCTACGTTTTTATTTGGGAGAACAAAGTAATCGCTTATCAAGCCCCAGTTGTTCGAAGGGTGGAGAACAATGTCCACTGGATAAATCTCTAGCCGATGGATAGCGCTGTACGTTTTCTTAACTCGTCCGCTGAATAGTGATTCATCCGTTGGATATGGGCCATTTCCTTGGAGGTCCCACTTACTTAAAGTGCTGAAGCCGTATATATATTGGGATGGTTGCGCGCGTCTCAGTTCTAAATGTCAGTCATGTTTCCAAATATTTTAACCGTTTGCATTTCAGAGTTAAATAAATCTCCGGCTTGGATGTAAACACGTCAAATAAAAACTAGCTATTCGCACAGGCAACTACCGAGATCTTCGAAATGACGACCTCCAGACTCTCTTTTTTCCCGCTCATCTGCCGCCATGGAATTTGGCAATAGCGACCGTGACGTAATGATCGTTTACTTGGCAAGTAGAGAAGCCATGGCTGTGCAATGTTCTGGTGTAAAGCACGCAGGAAACTCGAGACGTGGTCGTTCAGTAGTCATATCTAAAAAAAAACCTCACTCCTCACCTCGCCTCTTCTCTCGCGCCTGCTAAACGATATTGAATAAAGGAAAAGTAGCGTGTAAGATGATATTTAAAATATAGAAAATTATATATGGGCGTGCGTCGATATGGAATTTCTCTTCGAGTGTTTAACTCAATAGCTCACGAGTTATAATAAACACAATCTCCCTTAACTGACAAGAAAGTCAACTTTATTAATGAATGAAAATGAAAGAATCGCCAATCCCCGAGTAAAAATCGTTAAGTGCGTTGGCGTTAAAGCTCAAGATGAAAAAATGCGATGAAACTCTACAAAAGTAAATGAACGTAATTTTTAAAATACAAAATTCTCAATTATAATATTTGCCTTACCGACAGAAGAAATCTTTCAGTTACACGACCAAAAACGGCCTGTGGCAAATCTTTTAGTTGCCGATTTCCGTTCTCAGCCGCGTGAAATGCCATTACCAAAGCCACTGAATAAGTAACTTTCAGTTTTTCTTTCCGTATTTTGGTTTTCTTCCCCTCCTAGGTAAGTTTGAATGTCATTGGCTCTAAGCGATGCGTATTTTTCAGTGTTTTAGCAGCCATAGCCCGAAAAAATTCCGACAAATGACCTTGGATTGAGAATGGTGTCTTGGCTTTGCCGTTCATTCATCAACCTGACCGAGTGGCGCGAAAGGCGAATAAGTGTTAGCAGCTGATTGGCGATACCAAACAAAGGTGGAAAAATATCATGTTTTTCCTGTCACGCAACATTTCTAATTTAATTAGCGTATTTTAGGCTTTTTTACTCTTATTTTTTGACTTATTATTTTATGAATGATTTGATTTTTTCGATCTGCGATCCGATCTGTGACCCTGTCTGGTCTGGTGCATGATTCATATTTTTTCATGTGTGTTGTTACGGCTTTCTTAGGCCTGGAAATCCTTGTGTAACACCGTAGAATAGTTAGTTCAGCTCTATGTTCTGAACTCTGATTGAGTACGCTCTCAACCAATGACAGCGCGCGTTATATCCGAACTTTATTATATATGATTATCGTCTCCTAAGCAATTTGGTTTCCAACAAGTTGGTAGGGTCGCACGTGGGACTTTTACTGACTCTGTCTTGCGAAGTTGTTGTCATTGATTCGGTTTGACCAACACTCTGAAGGTATGCTGGAGTTTCACCCGTTTACAAAGCATTGAAATCAAAGTAAAGACAGCAGGTGAGTCGATCAGTGTGGGACAGGCGTACGTGTTGTAAATAAACGAAGTATCGAGTTTTTAATAATATTTTGACATTAAGGACTAGTATATAGATATACTGTTGCGCATTTCCACGATTGCTCCGAAAGCTCATCAGACATACGTGAACTTACCGGTGATTTAGCCAGGAACACAGAGGAATAGGAAGCCGGCAGACAGCTATTTCGGAGCAGGAGATCCTAAATTTAAATTTTGGCTCACAAGAGGAATGCTGGCCAATAGGAAGCATGATAAAGAGCAGGGCTAATTTGAGAATTAACCGTATTTATTTCTGATTCTTATGTTTTAAAAGTAAAATGTTACTGTAGATTGAGGCCAAATAACCTTTAATATTAACAGTAGTCTACTAGTGATGTCTTTATTCATTTGATAAAATACATATTAAAGGTCACAATGGAGAAGATTTTGCGATAAAAATACTAAAATACTAACAAATACTTACAATTTCAAAAGTTAAAATAATAAAACATAAGTTATGCTGCTAATTTATACTTAAAATTTTGACCTATTTTTAAAACTATTCTAAAAGCATTCAGTGTCTATTTTAGGTAGCTGGGTACAATCACATCTTCGCCTTTCACATCTTAGGTTGTTGTAACAATAACTATATTTTTCAGTCTATTTATTTGGCTAAGAAAAATTAAGAGGCACATCTTTTCCTTACATTAAATTTATTCTCAGATTTTATAAACTGTGTATAAGGGAACTGAATTTTGCAAAGACGCAGGCACAAATGTTAAAAAACACACAATTTTTATAGGCATGAAGTACCTACATCACTGTTGATTTTGATCCATTACAAAGTTATGATATAACATTAAAGTATCCAAGGCATATTATTTTTGTATCATTGTATTTTGAGAAAGCTAATAGTATAATCATTTTTCGATCAAGATTTTCAGGTGGTAAATATAAGTAAGAGATCTTGAAAAGGTTTTATGCAAGGGTATTACCGTATTTACTTGTGTATAAGTCAACCTTTTATGACTAAATAATCATCTCAAAATATTACCCTTGACTTATACATGAGTCATACACGAAGACCTGACCCAAGCAATCCAATAAATTAGCATAACAATTGTCTGAAGTCTGTTAAGAAAACTGAGTGTATAAAACCAGTTATAATTGTGTTTGAGTTTCGCTAATTTTCAGCGCATTCTTCGTCAACAAAAAAAGTTTGAAACAATAAATTTTAAGTGGCTTAACACAGAGCTACTGGAGCTGATTTCTATTGTGTTTTCGGACAATAGAGCAGACATTTTTCTTACAGCTTCACTGCTGTTTATGGGGTTGAACTTTTGTTTTCATTGATCAATTTCAGCAGCTCAGTGACCTGGAAAATGCTGTTGTCTCGTGCAGTCTTGTTTGTCACATGAGATCCTTCGAAGCTCTTTGATGTTCCATCAGTCTACTTAATCTCCTTTCAGACTCAACTTTAAGATAAAGGTTAGTTAAATACAAGAATATTTCATTTTCAATGATTCACAAAAAATGGTAAAATACTTCTCTTAGTAAATCTAATTGCTTGTGTATGCTTGCATTGTGGTGATATAAACAAGTGCTAATAAACTTCATAGCACACGGTTACATTTTTCTCTGCAGTTCTTTTAATTCCCTGTATTTTCAATACATCATCAGAAATAAGAAATTACCTTTTGGGAAATTTCTATCTGTCTAAATTTTACTTCTTTGACTAGGAATGATGAAAAATCTGATTTTTGACCTTGAAAATGGGGGGGTTGACACGAGTTCGACTTATACACAAGTAAGTATGGTACTGGGTATTCTCCATTTTCAGTGTTGGTGACTTAATGCCTGTATACCTTTGATGAAGTAACCAAAACAATGCAATTTTCTAAGAACTTTACTTGTGATTTCTTTTGATTTCTTTTCAAAATTAGTGCTCCTTTAATTTGAGCTGCCAAACACATTTTTATGCCAGTGTTTACAGTATATCTGCATGAACATTTTTGATATTGCTTGCTAGAAAACCCTTGAAAATAGGTAGCAATTTGGTTCCTGTTGTTTAAAGCTCTCAAGTCTCACACCATGGTTGTGAGACACACAAAACAAGTTCAATCTTTGCTGTCAATCATGCTGAAACTATTATTTCTGGCACATTTACATGCAAGGTTTCTTATTTAAATTCCTGAGTTTGAGACGGCAAAATCCTGCTTTAGACAAGCATCTACAAAATTAATTACCTCTTTAGATATATTTTACTCCTTGTTACCTTTGTACTCACTCTAATCACTTTTTAAAGTGGAAATTCTCATGCAGAGCAACTATTATGTTAGTCAGTGAGTTTATCAACTGAGTTGATACTAAGGTATCCAGGAAGTTAACTCCTGCACCACAATTGATGGCTATGCA